AAGTCACTTAACTATGCCTATAGCACTCAGAAGGTCACTCAACTAAATTTTTAAAACTTTTGATTGTCAAATACCTATTTTACCCTCTATATTATCAACTTTTTTCATCTTTTTATTTTTTTTAACTTTTTAATATCATAATTTTTTCTCTTTTTAATTTATATTATGGACTTACCTATTAAATAAATATATTTTATTTATAAATTTAAAAATAAAAATAGTATTTAAGCATATATAATATTGAGCAAAGTAAAAAAATTAATTAGAACAATCTGGATCGTAATAATAATNATATATATATATAACAAAAACTCAAAAATTTATTTACACAATTGAAAATGAAAGAAAATAATTTATATATATATTTAAAATTAAAGTATTTTATAATATACATTATATATTCTTGCGAAATTATGCTAAATTATATTACTGTTGCGATATAAAAGTTTGATAAATCTGGTTGAGTGACCTTCTGAATGCTATAGACATAGTTAATTGATTTTTTTGTTACAAACGAAAGAAAGATAACTTTACTAGATGATTTTGGATAGTTGAGTAATCATTTATATAATGAACTCGGAAAATCAAGTAGGACTTACAGTTGCAACTTCACAATCCTAACAAAAATTTTGGCGCAATTTATGGTCGTCCTTAATCAACTCTTAACCTCGTTTAGTGTTTAGAGTTACTGTCCAATCAAAAGGTCCACACAAGTGTAACTTGACTTGAAATTGGCCAGCGTAATATAATTGCTTAAAGATATATATCTTTCAATTATCGAAGAAATGTGATTTCTTATATTCACATTTCTCTTTGCATCCTGCTCCTCAAGTAAGTCCGATCCTAGTCAATATTTTCTATCAATCATTTGTCAGAAAGCAGAGAAGAAAGAATCGTCTCCTAAAATCTCGTTGCTGAAGGCATAGAAACGGCTATCAACAATAGGACAATTTTGTTATTATATCATCTCGGGAGAGATAATTAGGGAAAATATGCATTTTCACGACACGACTCTTTGATAAGTGTGCATGGAGATCGAGAATTAGAGTAGAAGGCTTTAAGCGTACTTTCCTTCCATTCCGATAGTTGTATTATTACTCTTGTTTATCTTTTTAGTAGATTTCTAATATTATCTGTTGTTGCTTCTGCTTTGATTTAGTTACTAGCTCATTGTGTGAGCATAAACTTTAATTGCATACCAGGATCTTGAACATGATAATCTTATACAAAATCGTACAGAAAACATACCTGAATCGTAAGCCATCATCGTGAAGCGGAAGCGTTAATTCAAATTGGTTTCTTGCCCTAGCTTTCGTTACCGCCATCTTTAGTGATGGAAGAGATAATAAAAAAAATACGGTAACCCTAATGGGTGGGGGAGAGGACCAATTTATAGAGGTTCTCACTTAATCCGGTACGTCCATCAAGTAACCGATCGGACGTATGAGATTTGATCATTAATTAAATATTAATTATGGGCCTTAAATCTATTGGGCTACATACACGTAGGAAAAATAACTTACATTCTCCCACTTGGCCCAATAATCACATAATATTAATATTTAATAATATAAATATTAGTTGCACATAAACAAATCCCTTTTATAACGTCCATCATAAATACCATAATACGATAAACTACTGAATGTGAGTTATGGCGGTTATATATAATTTGTCTACATACTCCCTTCCATATACTACAACATTAGTAATTTATCGTATCAGGTTCATAAGCCATAAAATATTATAGTCTACAATAATGTCTCATTGAGACTTATCCTGTAACATCTCAAAACAATAATGTGTAAATCATTATGAGAAACAGGAAATTATTAATGTATATCATAAACACATAAATGAGCTCAGAGTGTCAAAACATCATAAATACATCAATCCTAAATACAGCCAAGACTCATTCTATATACATGTTCTTTAAATATTTCGCAGCCATAATGCATGAATTGTGGCTTCAAAACATGTCACAAATTCTGCTTCCATCGTGAATGTAGCAATGACAGACTGTTTGGCACTCTTCCACGATATTGCTCCTTCAGCTAATTGGAACAAATAACCAAACGTGAATTTTCTAGTGTCAATACATCCAGCAAAATCTGAATTCGAGTATCCAAAAACTTTCAAATGCTTGGATCTCCTATACATGAGCATGTAATCCTTCGTTTCTTTTAGGTATCTCAAGACTTTCTTTGCAATTTTCCAGTGATCAATTCTTGGGTTACTCTGATATCTTCCTAGTATTCCAACCACAAAACTAATATCCGGTCTTGTGCAAGTCTAAGCATACATCAGACTACCAACAATTGAAGAGTAAGGAATTGATTCCATTTTCTTTCGTTCTACATCATTCTTAGGGCATTGCATGAGACTAAATTTGTCCCCTTTTTGAATTGGAATAATTCCTGCTGAACAGTTATTCATGTTAAATCTCTCTAGAATTCTTTCGATATAGCCTTTCTGGGACAATCCTAATAATCCTTGTGATCTATCACGGAATATTTATATTCCTATCACATAGGATGCCTTACCCATATCTTTCATTTCAAAAATTTTAGAGAGAAAATCTTTAGTCTCACGCAATATGCCTAAATCATTAGCAACAAGTAGAATATCATCAACATATAGGACTAAAAATATAAACTTGCTCTCACTGATCTTTTGGTATATACATCGATCAATGATATTTTTCACAGATCCAAAAGATGTTATGGTATCATTAAACTTTATATACCATTGTCGTGAGGCTTGTTTAAGTCCATATATTGACTTCTTCAGTTTACACACCATTTGACATTTTTCTTTAGTTTTGAAACCATCTGGTTGGTCTATATGAACTTCCTCCTCGAGATCTCCATTAAGAAAGTCAGTTTTCACATCCATTTGGTGTAGCTCTAAATCATAATGAGCCACCAACGCCATAATAATTCTTAACGAGTCTTTCTTTGAGACAGTGAAAAGGTATCTTTATAATCAATGCCTCCTTTCTGAGTATAACCCTTGGAAACAAGTTTGGCTTTGTATCGTTCAATATTTCCATTTGAATCACGTTTGGTCTTAAAGACTCATCTACACCCGATTCTTTTAGAACTTTCTGGCAATTCAACGAGATCCCCGACTTTTTTGTATTCCGTAGATTTTATCTCTTCCTTTATGGAATCAATCCATTTGTCAGACTCATTACTTTCTATGGCTTGTGAAAATGAAACTAGATCCTTATTAAGACTAATGTCAAAATCTGACTCTTGCAAATAAACCACGTAATCATCCAAAATAGCGATTTTCTAACTCTTTGAGATTTTCTTAATGGCATTTCTTGTGGTTCATTTGTGTCAGATATTTGTGAGTCAGTTTCTTCATGAAGTGTTTCATCCAAATGTTGCTCGGTGTTGTCAAAGTGTTCTTAAACAACTGGAATAATATTTGGTATTTGTGTGGAAGTAGGCACATTCGTGGGTAATAGAATATTGATCCTCACCTCTTTTATTTCCACACTTCATTTTTCAACACTCCCACTAACTTCACCATTCTCAATGAATCTTGCATTACCGGTTTCAATAATTCTTGAACTATGGTTTGGACAGTAAAACACATACCCTTTAGATTTCTCTAGGTAACCAATAAAGTAACAACTTACTGTTCGGGAATCTAATTTCTTTTCTTGTGGATTATAAACTCTAGCTTCCGTTGGGCAACCCCAAACATGCAGGTGCCTTAAACTAGGTTTCCTTCCACAGTTCAAAAGGGGTCTTTGGAACTGCCTTACTAGGAACCCTGTTTAATAAATATACAACGGTTTTAAGAGCATACATCTACAATGATTTGGGTAATGAGAAATTACTCATCATGCTCCTAACCATATCCATAAGTGTTCGATTACGCCTTTCTATAATAATATTTTGTTGAGGTGTTCCTGGCATAGTATACTATGCACATATGCCATGTTCCTCGAGGAACTTTGCAAATGGACCTGGACATTGTTCCGATTCATTATATTTTTCATAATATTCACCATCTTTATCTGACCTAATAATTTTCATCTTTTTATCTAATTGCCTTTCAACCTCATTAACAAACACCTTGAGAGTATCTGTTGCTTGAGATTTTTCTTTCAGCAAATAGATGTATCCATAACGTGAAAAATTATCGATAAAAGTGATAAAATATTTCTCTCCACCAAAAGATGGAACATCAAAGGGTCCACAAATATCGGTGTGTATAATTTCAAGAAGTTGGGTACTTCTTGTGGCACCTTTCTTACTATGCTTGATTTTCTTTCCCTTAATGCAATCCAAACATATAGTAAGATCAGTAAAATTTAGATTCGGAAGAATCTCATTCTTTACTAATCTTTCTAACCTTTCTTTGGATATATGACCCAAATGTCTATGTCACAAGTAAGCAGAACTTTCATCTAGTGAACTACGTTTAATTCCAACATTATGTTGAACAGTAAGAAGGGATTCAGAAAAACCAATATCGAGTTTCAATTTATATAAACCATCACTAAGAAAATCAGAACCATAAAAAATAATATTCTTATATAAATTGAAACATCCATTTTCAAACTTTAAATCAAATCCAGAAACATCAAGTCTTGAAAGAGAAATCAAATTCCTATAAATTGAAGGTACATAAAGAGTCTGTAATAGATCAAGGTGACGTCCAGTCTCCATGATTAAACGATAAGTCTCTATGCCTTCAATTGGAGCCTTCATACGATTTCCCATGAACAAGAGATCCTTATTTGGATTTGTAGTTTGGATCGTAAGGAATCCCTGCAACGTAGTATATACATGAGCAGTTGCACCAGAATCAAGCCACCAAGTATTATTAGGAACTTTTATTAAATTTGATTCGAAACATACAAAAGCACTAATTATACCTTTCTTTTCGAACCAAGCTTTACGTTTCAGGCAATCTTTCTGATAGTGTCCTTTCTTGTTACAGAAACGACACGTATCTGCCTTATGTTCCTTCTTAGCATCCTATGGAGTTTTAGCATGTGCTCTCTTCTTCTTGAACTTGTTGGGCTTCACTTTAAGTCCTTTACCAGCTCCTTGACCTATGAGGTTGATTGGATAACTCCCTTGTTTCTTAAGTCTTGACTCCTCCTGAGTAAGCATACTGGACAATTCACTAACATTCCAGTTATCCTTAATAGTATTATAGTTAATTTGAAATGGTCCATACTCAGGAGGTAACGAGTTCAGAATAAAATGAACCAAGAAGGAATCATCCACTTTTATCCCCAAGGTCTGAAGTTTTGCTACAATGTTAGTCATCTCGATGATATAGTTTTGCATACTACGCGACCTATCAAACTTCATGGTCGGGAGTTCATCCATTAGTGCAATGACCAAACCGGTCATTTTAACTTTTAGAACTCCATTTCCTAAAATAAAACTTTCTGTAGGTGCTTGTAATGATTTATGACTTGCGGGGATGGTTGATTCGGGATTTGAAAGTATTTAAGGTGAAACCAGAACACTTGGTTCCTTAAGTTGGCCTTAAAGTGCTAAGTTTGACTTCGGTCAATAATTTGAGAAAACGACCCCAGAATAGAATTTTGATGATTCCAACAGCTCCGTATGGTAATTTTGGACTTAGGAGCGTGATCAGAATTTTATTTGGAAGTCCGTAGTGAAATTAGGCTTGAAATGGCTAAAATAGGAATTTAAAGTTTGAAAGTTTGACCGGGGAGTTGACTTTTTGATACCGGAGTCGGAATCCAGTTCCGAAATTTTTTTATAGCTCCATTATGTAATTTATGACTTGTGTGTAAAATTTGAGGTCAATCGGAGTTGATTTGATAGGTTCCGACATCGAATGTAGAAGTTGAAAATTCTAAGTTTCATTAAGCTTGAATTGGAGCATGATTCGTGATTTTAGTGTTGTTTGATGTGATTTGAGGTTTCAAATAAGTTTGTATGATGTTTTAGGACTTGTTGGTGTTTTGGGTTGAGGTCCCGAGGGGTTCAGGTGAGTTTCAGATGGTTAACGGATCAAAAGTAGGACTTAGCTGCTGCAATTTTTCTGCAGGAAATGCTGTCAAAATCGGGTTGCCTGTCAAAAATCAAGTTGCCTCACAAAAATCGAACCCCTGACAAAATCGAGCTCCCGAGAATGAGCTCCCAAGAACGAGCTCCCGAGATCGAGCTCCCAAGAACGAGCTCCCGAGAACGAGCTCCCGTGATCGAGCTCCCCAGAACGAGCTCTCGAGATCGAGCTCTTAAGAACGATCTCCCGAGAACGAGCTCCCGAGATAGAGCTCCCCAGAACGAGCTCCCGAGATCGAGATCCCTAAATCGAGCTCCCAAGAACGAGCTCCCTAGATCGAGCTCCCAAGAACGAGATCCCGAGAACAAGCTCCCGAGATTGAGCTCCCAATATCGAGCTCCCAAGATCGAGCTCCCGAGATTGAACTGGACAGATCGAGCTCCCGAGATCGAACTAAGCAGATTTGTAAGTTATAAAAACAGAGGCATTCAACCCATTTGCCATTTTTGACAAACTTGAGCTTGAACAGAGGCGATTTTTGACAGATTTTCAAGGAAAGACATTTGGGGTAAGTGATTCTAACTCGGATTTGATCAATATACACGAATATATTATTATTTTCACAATTTAATTAGTGTTTTGAGATTGAAATTTGCAAAAGTTTAGAAATCTCATAGAAATGAAAATTTGAGATTTCGGTATCGATTCGGAGTTGGATTTGAGTGAAACTGGTATGGTTGGACTCGTAATTGAATGGGTTGTCGGATTTCATAACTTTCGCCGGATTCCGAGATGTGGTCACTGTGAGCAAATTTTTAATTAATTTCGGATCTTTTCTTTAAAATGTAGTATTTTCTTATAGAATTGATTCCTACAATATTTAGTGATTGTATCGAATTACTTTGGCTAGATTCGAGTCACACGGAGTTGGATAATCGTGGAAAAGTCTTTATAGTGGATTAAATTGGAGCAAGACGAGGTAAGTCTCTTGTCTAATCTTGTAAGGGGGAAATTACCTCATAGGTGATTAAGATTAAATAATTGTTGCTAATTGTGGGGGCTACGTACGCACGAGGTGACGAGAGTCCGTGCGTAGCTACTATTAAT